CATGCGATGAATTTGATGAAGATGATAACGGGTTGTTACAGCTGTCAACACTTGTGTTGTTGGTGTTAATTGCAGTTGGACTGCCAAAACCACAATCAGTTAGAAGACGACTTTAATTGACAGGTAAAGAACAATAAAAAAAACATACGAACAAAGGTAAGAAGTATAACATCACTAAAGAATAATAATAATCGATGACAAGTTGAATTGAAATCATGAATCGATCAATGCTAGACCATCATTAGAAACTTGGAAGAAGCACTGAAAGACAGTCGTTTCATCCTGGTATAGGACACATCAGCGGCAGTGCGCATCCACGATTGCTACACCTCACAGGATTCCAACGTAGGATCTTCGGTCTTTAGTGCGAACGCCTTACCTCTGGACCACTGAGCCGATATCTAACGAGGTGTTAATGTTTGACTTCGAATCCTGCGAGGTGCAGAAGTCGTGGATGCGCACTGCCACTGATGAGTCCTATACCAGGACGACACGACCGTTCAGTGCTTCCACGTTTCTGTGTTGGTCTAACGTTGATCGATTGATGATTTCAATGGCTAACTTTACAATCTTCACAACCCCATAATGCGACAGGTTAAATGTCAAATTTTACAGTTCCGTTGATCGGAAACATACAGTTCCTATGAAGTTTCACTTTAGCTTATGTTCATGGTCAAGAAATAATATATATATATACTACTTCAAATTGATATTTAGACAAAAGTGAATTGAGATGATATAAAGACTGAGATTTTCAAGGTATAACCACCACCTTGTAGGATTAGATGAAGAGTAGAGTATGAAGAATATGGGGTGTCACAGACATTTTCATTGCCAGAGGCTGTTCACCTTAAATACTTGTTGAAGATATAGGTATGGCCTGCTACGAAAACTACAACTGCCTCGCTGGGATTTTCAATAATCAAGAGACAAGAGCGTTCCGGATACACCACATTCTAAGAGCTTTTCAGAAGAGTTAGTATACAGGAACAAGTATAACTGAGTGATGTGGATATACGACAATAGCACATAAGTAAATTTACAGTAAAACTACTACTACTCATGTACATATGAGTAGTTAAATATATATGCATTTTCTAAACCTATTCTTTGACAAAGAGTTTCAACAGAGTATAAACTCCGGTGCATAAAAGATCTCAGTTAACTTGGAAATCATGATTTGTTCTCACCAATAACTTAATAGTAATGATATATATATACATGAATATGGAAGCTTAACGTAATCAAAAACATAGAAATTTCGCACATTTGAAATCATCAATCAATCATTGTTAGACCAGCCATTAGAAATCTGGAAGCACTGAAAGACGACCGTTTCGTCCTGGTATGGGACTCATCAGCAGTGGCAGTGCGCACCCACGACCCCAGCACCTCACAGGATTCGAATATATGAGCTCTTGTACAGAAGAAGAGCAGCATAAAATTTTACAGAGACAATCCATATTTATACAGTTAGGTCGACCGGAAACATCTAACCAATAGGAAAACAACTTTTAAACGTATGTGAATGTGATAGTTTAAGACGACTATTAAATATTGACCAATAGAATTAGTCTTATAAAATAATTTCTTTCGATTAATTGATGAATAATATTCTAACATGAATTAACTGTGAATTTCATTCATCATATCATATAATGTGTGTGTGTGTGTGTGTCGATCAGTAGTGATTAAGTCAACACTGAGATAAGATTATTTTTTGTGTGTAAATGATAACTATGAACGACTATGAGTATGTATCACTTATATGATTACCGTTAGTTAGTTATGTGATATTTCATTACTATTGCATGCTTTCAATTAGTTATGGAGATTAGTGTGGTTTTTTTACACATGAAATCATCAATCAATCATTGTTAGGTCACCATTAGAAACCTGGAAGTAGCACTGAAAGAAGGCCGTTTCGTCGTGGTATGGGACTCATCAGTGGTAGTGCACATCCACGACTCCTGCACCTCACAGGTCTCGAACCCGTGACTTTCGGTATTATGTACGAACGCCTAACCATTGGACCACTGGGCCGCCTGGTATCCAATGGTGTTGATGTCTGACTCTGATTGATCTAGGGATTTTGCGCGACCTCATTCATTTCTCTTTGTGCAGGGTACTGCCTACATCCATCAGAGCGTTAAACTCCACTGGTCACACTGGTCACACACAACTCCGAGAATTTCCTCACGAAGAAGCTAGTCACTAGTAAGCACATTTTACAGTGAGTGATTTAACAATCATTAATTGATAAATTCAATATGCAATAAACACTAATCGATAACAAAACGAACAATCATTACCATAATGCTAAAAGTTTTCCACTCAAATGAACTGATCTCAGCTGATCGATTGAATCTATACATAGCTCTTGTTTCATTTCATTTAGCATAGGATGATTTTGTTTTAATACTAAACAAGGATGATTACAAACAGCTTGAAAATAACGTAATGCATGAAAACCATGCAATGTAGGCGAAGAAACATTAGTGAATAAAGTGGAATGACATTGAGAATAGATATCACTCTTGTTGTTGTTGTTGTTATTAGTTGTTGTTGATGACACGATATTCATCGCCTGTTGTCCTTCATCAGTTTTTTGAAATGATTCATATAATTTACGCTAAAAAAAAAAGTGAATTGGAAATAAGATTTAAAAAAAACAACAACATACAATTCATGAAAAATAAAGCAATGCATACCATACTTACTTACGCCTGTTACCCCCCAATGAAGCATAGGCCGCTCACCAGTTTTCTCCAACAAACTCTGTCCTGAGCTTCCCTTTCTATTTCTTTCCAGGTTTTGTTCATTCTTCCCATATCTTTTTCTCTATTTTTCGGTGTAATGTGTTCTTTGGCCTTCCTCTTTTCCATTGAACTTGAGGGTTCCATGTGAGGGCTTGTCTTGTGACACAGTTTGGTGCTTTTCGCAATGTATGTGTGTCCTATCCACTTCCACCGCTCCTTCTTGATTTCCTCTGCCACTGGAATATGGTTTGTTCTACTGTATGGAACGGAAACTTGGAGAACTACCGATGCCATTAACCATGAGACAAAGGTATTCATTAACAGTTGTCAAGGCAAAATACTGAGGATCCATTGGCCAGACACTATCAGCAACAACCTACTGTGTGAGAGCACAAATCAGGTTCCAGCGGAGGAAGA